TGTGTCATGAATAACTTGTCATTAAAACTTAGTACAAAAATTTGAGTGTAGTTCGTATTACAATTTTCTAAACTTCTTCATTGTATTTGTTATTTATGCACTTGTGTTATATAAGGGCATTTTCATGCCCCTGTGTTTTATGATCCTTCCCATACTCCCTCCCCACCCCCCCCAACATGACTCCTCTTTGTTCCCCTAGAGAGTTTTGCTTCTACTTTCATATCTCAGATGTACATGGTGGATCGAGTGTATCTTTATAAAGATTAGGAACAACATATCAGGGTGACTAACTTTTCTTTAGAAAATTAATAACTCAAACTAAAGCCATCGATGATAGTCTAATCCTTGCATTGCGTGTATTCCCAGTCTTTAAGCAAGAGGTTCCACGAATATTGTGGCCATTTATGTATATCTGTATGTAAAACCATATGTCTACAATTATGGCCATACAGTTTGTAGTTGAAAATCACTGGTTAGCCTTTGGTAGAAAAGCCCCCAGGCTTCACCTCCACCCAGCTGGCTGCTTGTTCCTAAGCTACAGCAGTGGCAAGACCAGTTTGGTAAGAGGGCAATACAAACTGGAAGCGGATGCCATGATATGCTGTGTGAACTTAATGGAATATTTTCTTACATTTATTGCTTTCATTGGTCACAAAGAGATGAGGGCCTGATTGTGGCAAGATTTGAGTGTGGGTTGCAGGTTTTTTGTTGTTTTGTTTCTCATGAATTTAACAGTACTGTTTTGTACTTAGCACAGTCCCTTTTTCTTGGTTTCTGAACAGTTTGTTTTATTTCATTTTTTTTTATATTTGTCTACTTATTTAGACTGGGTCTCATGTATCCTAGACTGGGCTTAAACTTGCTGTGTAACCTAGGATGGCCTCAAACTCATGATCCCTTGCCTCTACCTCCTGAGGGCTAGGATTACAGATGTGCACCATCACACCTGGTTTGTATATAATGGTGATTGAACCCAGGGTCTTATACATGGTAGGCACATTATCAGATGAGCTCTATCCCAATTCCCCCAAATTTATTTTTCTCCGTATTTTAAAATTCCCATTGCCCCCAAACTAATAATAGTTGGAGTAGTAAATTTGATTATATGCAATATTGCTTCCCAGTGACTGCAACTTTTTTCCCTAGGGCTCAGTAATGTGTCTGCCTGGCAGTTGATTGATCCTTAAGTTTAGATACTTTCGTGAGGTTTTTCTTTTCTTTATTATTTGGTATTTCATTGAGTATTAACCAAAGCTGATAGGGTTTTTTTTTGTAGTAATAGTGCAATATTTTCCCCCATAAAGAGGGATCTTCATGATCATCTTGTATTGGAGATTATGAGTCTCGGTGTTCTTTAATAACCGAGTCCCACCACAAGCCACTGTCCCTTGAGTACTGATGCTTGCTTTTATAGCTTCCTATTGTTGTCTCACCAGTGAATGATACATGAGGATTTTACTACTCATTTTACTGTGACATTGATAAATGAGCTAGTTTCTTCTTTTCTGTCCTTCCTTAAAACCTTAAGTGGAAAAAAAGTTCAAAGCCTTTTTTTAAAAAAAAATCACATATACCATTTTTATGGGCACTTTACCAGTGATAGCTTTTATTAACCTTTTCTATAAATTCTAAGAATATTATTTTCCTGATGATTTAAAGAATGAACATGTGCTTTGAAGCTGTATATCCAGCAAAGCATGCTCTTTGTTATTCATAGCCGCATTCTATTACACATGCATGTGTGTGTGTGTGTGTGTGTGTGTGCATATATAAATAATGGGCAACATTTGTTACACATTTCTAATGTATCTAGGTAATATTGTCACTTTATATCTATCATCATAGTGTAATTCAAAAATCCCATGAAATAGCTTTAGCTTTTTAAAAAAATTAGTAAGTTTTATCATTAGGATGGGTTTAGTTTATCAAAACCTGCTGATCTGAAAGAACAGTATTTCCATGAAGGGGAAGGCTGCTTTCTTCCTACATTTAGTTCTTCTTTATAATTACCTGGCTCATATTAGGAGTGCACATTTGTTACCAATGGGTGAGGCAGTTATTTGATAGTTCACCCTTTGTGTTGTGCACTTTATGAGTTTGGACAAATGGATCATGAATACAGCCACGATAACAGCATCATGTAGACTGGTTTCCCTGCACTCCCCCTAAATCCTCCTTTCTGTAATAGCGCAAAGTACTGCTAAAAGATAGGATGATTTTCCACGAGTCATGTAGATAAACAAGTGTGGAATTGCTCTGCTTGTCTAGAATCTATTCTCCTATTTTGTACACTGGGCTGCCTGATTCTTCACAGTGAGTGAGTCGGTGAAAGGACTCTAACATGGCAAAATTGCTGCTCTTACCTTATGGAAGCCCAGAGACACTTATATAGGAAACTTTGCTCCATGCTCTCTTTTCTACTTTGAAGTTCAAACTTGAAACGTTTCTGAAGGAACGTTGCAGTTTCAGTCACAGGGTAGTTGATGAGACTGACTTTCAGAGAGTAGCTGCTGAATGCAGTGCCATTATTGAAATGAAAGAACTTTGGAAGTCCATTTTTCTGAGTATGAGGTCACCACTAGTTATAGGTGATAGAGACTGAGGGGTGATGCACAGCAGTTAGGGCAGTGAATAGATGTAGAATGTAATAACACTGTGGCTTTTCTTTGAATGAGTGGATGAAAAAGCCCTAGAAGATTCAGAGAAACTGGTCAAAGTTACATAGGTGGAGAATAACAAGCAAGTTATACACATTGAACTTTGGAAAAATTGTTTGCAATAACATTGATTGAAAAAAGTGTGAACAAAGAATGAGCCATTGCCTGAGGTGTTTGGTGGTATAGAAGAGAGGAGGAACATGCACATGTTTACTGTGGACCAAGCCGTCTGGACATAACATGGTACTTAGTTGTCACTTAGAATCCACATAGATTTTCATTCCCACCGTACCAGACCAGAGACAACTCTGGGACATTTCTTCCTATGGTCCTCCCCTTTGTTACTGTGGATAATTGTGCAGAAGCAATAACCAGGTCAAGATCCCACTGCTTCATACGCTGCCTGGATTATATTATTTCAAGAAAAATAAATTTGTTTCATGAAAACAATTCTCTGTTGTTGTTGTTGCTGTTGTTACCATTTTTTTGTGATGTCACTGTTTGCTTAAAACTAAGACTAAGAAGGTAAGCTAGTTTCTGATTAAATTCCAGGTTAGCAGAACTTTCAGTTCTGAATGATAGCAGCAATGAAAAATTGTTGTTGGAAATTCTCCAAGTTAGGACTTTGCTTCTTTCTTGGAAGTAGGTAGTCATTGCATCCACAGAGGAACATTTGTGAGTAGTAAGAGGTGGGGAGTGTCAAGAAAACTAGTGTTGCCTTCATCACTTGGGACCAATGTTTACTCCCTCTGCACTCCAAAGAGAGAACTTTTTGTTTTTGTTTTTTTTTTTTAGAGCTTATCGCTCATTTTCTTGTGTTCTCTCGTTTAACCATTGGCTGTGTTTAACATTCGGTATCACTGAGCTGTATCTGAGGTTAACTTTCCCAAGCATGATGTGTGCTTGAAGGATCCGAGAGGAGAATGGCCATGGGAAAGAACTCTTCTTCAGCATAGACTGGAGTGCTATGTTTCTTTACTTTTTTGTGAGTACATGCAAGGTGTATGTGTGTGTGTGTGTGTGTGTGTGTGTGTGTGTGTGTGTGTGTGTGTGTACATTCCTGCATGCTTGTGTTTGCTGATGGTAATCAAAATTGAACCTAGGGCCTTGTACTAGACAACTGAGCTATATCTACCTGCCTTTTAGGTTAATATTTTTGAGACAGAGTCTTTATAAGTTGCCCAGGTTAACCTTGAGTTCACTAGGTAGCCCACGCAAGCTTGTGGAAACTGTGGTCCTCAAGCTTCAGCCTCCGGGCTACAGGAGAGCTCTTAGAATTGTAGGTCTGTAACCTCTGGTCCAGCGTGCTTGAGATTCTGATGGTGTTCTGAGTATTTGTTTACAGACTCAGGCATGCTCTGGGCTCTTTCCTCCAGTGCTAACGAGCTGTGCAAACACTTTCTCTCAATTAAAATTCCTGTGTCCAAGCCATCCCTAGCTCATCTGCCTCCCCATGAAGTTAGAATAAGACAAGCAGAATGGAACTTGACAGTTGAAGCTATGCTACATTTTCACTCTCATTACATAACTCCTATTGGCAGTAATAACTGTGATATGAGCTGAGGGAATACTTTATTAAGATAAAATAATAAAGACAATAAAACAGAAAGAGAAAGGGCTTGGCAGCAGCTCAGTTGGTAAAGTCGCCACAAGTATCGGAGCTCAATCATCAGAACAGAGGTTGGGGGCCTGGAGAGGCAGCTCAGCAATGAAGGGCACTTGCTGCTCTTCCAGAGAAGCCAAGTTCTGTTCCTAGAACCCACATAGCAGCTAGCGTGGACTTCAGTTCAAGGGATTCTATACTCCCTTCTGGCCCCTGCAGGCTCCAGGCATGTACATAGTACACATACATCCATGTAGGAAAAACCCTCATTCACATGAAAAAAGAGTAAGGAAATATTTAACATCTGAGATCATCTTCTGGCCTCCCCATGCATGTACATATATGCACACTCATGCAATACACACACTCCACTCAAAGAAAACCTCAAACGGCAGCGATATTCCTATAAACCCGTTTTACCCTTTTTATTGTTATGAAACTTCTAAAAACCATTTCAGTTCCCCAGCCTCCCCTTGATCACTTTGATGGGCTCAGTATCATTTCTGGTCTTCTCTTTTTGATGTGTCCCAAGATCCTGAAATCAGTCTTTACTCTCAACGTATTTTCCTTTGTCATCCTCAGTCAGAAGAAAGGTTTTGTTTGTTTGTTTGTTTGTTTGTTTGTTTGTTTGTTTGTTTCCAGCACTGTGTATCTGTAGACATGTATTTCAATTGTGCCCGAGGTAAAAAATAATCCATCAAGATCCAATGTTGAATCATCTATTTTCTCTGTTTTTCAAGGGTCGTAAGAGTGAGGCTGAAAAGTTCTTCTTGAAGGCCATTGAGCTCGATCCCACGAAAGGAAACTGTTATATGCACTATGGTGAGTGGTGATACTTTTCCCATGGCCCCCATGCCCGCTGTTAGTGCTGAAGTGACATTTCGTGTCTTTGCTCGTCAAGGACCTTTGAGAGGAGGTTGACTTCCTCCTTTCCGATGTAGCCTCATGCTATATCCTTCCGTTCCCATTTAAAATGTCACACACGGGAGGGCTCTGCACTGTATTTACCCCAGCAAATTTTATTAGCCTTTAATGGAGAAGTCAGATTTCCAATTGTTTCTTTCAAGTTCAGCACAGAGTTTTAAATGAGATCTCATCGGGAAAGCATCTAGCTCTTTGTCTGATGCATGGTTTATAATAAAAATATTAGCTTCTTTTTTTTCATTCTCTGCAGTAAATGTATTACTTATGGAGCATGCCAACTGGATGTTTTAGGAGTTTACATTTTGGTCTCAATTGCTTGCTTTCTGGAAGATATGAATGTATACCAGGCTGTAAATGCCTAAGAGTGAGGCCAAGCATAAGCTACTATAAGAAGTATAAGGAATGTGTGTCTCATGCCGTTTAGCCTTGGCCTTAATCAGTCCAGGATGAGCTTATATAACACTCTATCATTTTGGTGACTCGTGTTTAGACACCAACGTATACAGCTGGTTGGTGTGGGATAAGATATGCTGTGTCTACCAGATTTTTAGATGGGCTGTCTCTCAAGGAACAACAACAACAACAACAACAAAAAGCATTTTATTTTGCTAATCCCATGGGAAACAAAATACTAGCTTTTTTTTTTAATAATACTGTTGACCTTAATGTGTTAGGTATTATTGAGTAACAAACTTAAATGTGGACAGAAATGAAATCCTTAGAAAATATACCTAATTTGACTGTATAGTGTAGCTAGAGATTTTCTGGTCCTGCCTGGCCCACAGTCAGGACAAATCTCTCTAACCTGCTAGTCCCACAGCGGCTCAGACCCAACCAAGTAAACACACAGAGACTTATATTGCTTACAAACTGTATGGCTGTGGCAGGCTTCTTGTTATCTACTTCTTTTATCTTAAATTAACCCATTTTTATTGATCAATACTTTGCCACGTGGCTTGTGGCTTACCCGTACCTTCCATTCTCGCTTGTCATGGTGGCGGCTGGCAGTGTCTCTCTGCCTCAGCCTTTCACTTCCCAGAATTCTCTTCTCTGCTTGTCCCACCTACACTTCCTACTTGAATACTGGACAATCAGCATTTTACTTATACAGAGTGATATCCACAGCACTTTTAAAATAAGAAATAGTATAGCATTAATTCCTTCTTCAAGTTTTCAGCAAGAAAGGAAAAAAAAGCAATGATGGCTAGGAGTGTAAGGGAATGGACGTAACAAAATAGAGGAAATACTGAACCAACCACCAGTGCCTTTTTTTATGTGTATGTTGTTATATGAATGTGCTTGTGAAACTAGGCACACGATGCTTTGGTTTTGGCCTAACACATAATACAAAAGCATATGACATATTATATGACCACTCTGCCATTTCTCTTTTGCCACCATGTTAAGATAATAGTTGAGTAACTCAACTTGTCTTCAGAACTTGTTTTTATTTTCACAAGTTTTCCTATATGAAGTATTTGAAATTAGGTTTTTTTTCTCATACCTGCTATTTTGAGTTCTCCTACCAAACATCAAATTATCTCCATGATTGTTTTGCTAGAGTGTGAGAGGACTATTTTAGTCCAGGGTGTTTTAGGAAATAGATGTTCCATTTCTTACCTTTTTGCATATATTGCCTTGGTTTCAAACTGGTTCTGCTTTGTGTATCTTCTGAGCTAATTTCCAATATCATTATGTAGTGAATAGGAATCTTCACAGTGAATTTTGTTACACCCCACTATTGTTATATCTGAATGATCATTATTAAAAATCACTGTTACAACCAGGGGTAGGGCTCAGTGGTACAGCACTTGTCTAGCTCAGATGAGGCTTGATGTTCAATCACTAATACTATCAAAGGGGAAAAAAAAAGGAAACTAACTTCAGACTTCAGTTGCCTAGGGAATTCTTAAGGAAAAAAAAAAATGAACTGTTGTATTAAGAGTTGGCACCTGGTTATTTCCATAGCTTGCCTTTTCATAATTTTAAAAATTAGTGTTTTGTGGCACATTATACTCCTGAGTTTTGTGGTTCCAGTGGTGGTTATATAGATGTTATTTCTCCCATGAGAATCTTGTTTTGGCTTTAGTTTACTGGAAAGTGCAACAATTTTTTTAATGTTACTTGAAAAATAGTGATAGCTCATATCTTTAAATGTTTGTGTAAAATTTGAATTTTTTCTTAATCCTATTGGAGTGTTTTTAGCTTGAGGGATATGCAAAAAAATTAGAACTATATTTCCCATTTCTTAGAAGGAAGACTACATGATTCAACATAAATTTATGAAAGACAGTATTACTCATTTTAAAAAATTTATAACACTCAATATTTTTACTGCCTTCACGTGGAAGTGGAAAAGACCCAAAAGGAGCAGTAAAATGCAGAGAAGCCTGTAACCGAGAACTTGAAACAACGTTAATTTTTGACTTTTAGAACTGAAAATTTGTTTTTAATTTAACTCTATATCAATCCTCTGTTTTGCAAACAAATAGTGTGAAGCCTAGAAAAATGGTGATGATTCAACCAAATTTAATGTAGCTGAGCAACGTCTGCATCTCTCAACTACTCATTGTTTTCCCTTTCTGACATATGTTCTATTTCCTTTTATAGCATTGACCGATTGACAAATAGACGTTTTTATCAGTAGATCTTTTGTACAGAATTTATGAATTTTATGACTTAGCTTAAAATTCTTAGAGAAGGTTTTATTTTATTGTCATAAGGTGTATCTAGTTGGTACAAGACATTCTTCCCTATTCAGAAAATTCTGTGAAGACAGGAACATCATGAAGTCATCTTCAGAAGGTGATTAGGTAGAAGGTGGAAAGGAGTAGCTGTGTCTTACATCTGTGAGTTTATGATGTGTGCCCATCCCTGAGAACATGCCAAGTATTTGAAGAGCTAGCTGTCAGTAGGACAACTGTCAAGTTCAAGGGTCCAAAGCAAGAGCAAGTGTCTATTTAGAGCAGCAAATTAGAGCTCTTGTGACTGGAGCTGGGTAAACCAGATGGAGGAGTGGAGGTGGAGGCCACAGATGGAGGCCCACTGAGGCTTTGCAAACTAAATTCTAAAAAAGAGTGTACTTTTATGAGTGTTGGGATAGATCAAACTGAGAAGACAGTCCAGAGATGTCTTTAGAAAAGTCTTTAGAGAGTGACTGCTGTGTATTGGGCAAGGGATGGTGATGGTTTGGGATTGGGAGTTATTGGGAAAGCAAATAAATTTAAACTATCCCTCCTTTAGATAATTCTATATTAAGAGTGGGGAGAATTCTGTTTCCTATTTTCTATGCCAACAATACCTGGTGTATTGTCAAATTCACAGTGATGTCCCATGCTAGAACCTAATCTGGAACACACAATTTACTAAAAGAACGTTCTGCTTGAATTTTCATTATTTTTATCTAAGAAAATTCATACTATGTTTTTCATATCAGTTCCTTGCCAACTTGCTGATATATATATATATATTTTCATTTCCCCTTAGGGTGTTTATACCCACAGATTGAATGAATAAAAACACTCCCTCGACTTGAAAATAAATATTTAAATGAAATGTATGTGTTCTGAGCCTTTTTAAGATGCGATTCAAATGCCAGTGAAAATGCCAGTGAGTGAAAGTTGTTTTATGAGAAATCCACTCTTTTGAGCAATTATGTGCTTTTAGTTTGCTTGTTAATGATACGAGTGATTTGGAAAATATCATTCAGTTGTGATTGGGCAGATAGAATTGTAGGAATTTATATCGGTTGAAGTGGTGATTAGAAGATGTCTAAATATGCCATCGGTTCCTCCTAGTTTAGACCCCCTGGTTTTATGTGTGTAGGAAAGAGAGTTGTAGTGAAGATTTTTTTGCACTACAGTTTCACTAAAGCTTCATCTGAAAGTTTATGAAATTGTTTTAAAGAAATAATTATATTTTGACCTTTGTTAGCCTACAGTCTCTGGAGGACAAAAAGAGACATAGAGTATAGTCCTGGGCTGAAAATCTAGAAAACTGATGTTCACTCCTAGAATTTTTTTCCAGAATTCAAATTTTCTTTATCAGTTTAATAGTGTACAAAGTACTGTTTTTTAATATTAGCTCAATGTTTTAGTGCCAATAAACATGAAGAAAATAAGTTTCAAACTATTTCAATGTATCAACTATAGTATAGCATTTTATTCATGCATTGTTGTGAAAATTAATATTTCCATGCCTGTGATGCCAGTATATATAATCTTGGTAAGGTTTAGTCCACCAATCTCAGGATGATGTCCATTATGGATCAAGGGATTCTCCATGGATCTGTTTGTCTCCAATAGGAAGTGGCTTCCATAAAACTAAAAGTCAAGATAGGCATTCCTTCTCCCAATTAAAAAAGTACTATTTTATAAAGGCCATGTAGTAAGATAAAATATAAATATTTTCTTTGGATACATAGAAGCAAATTTGATGTGACTAAAATATGTTAGTATATATTCAAACGTACCTACTAGGTATATATTTTAGTCACTGTTCTATTGCTGTGAATAGACATTGTGACCAAGGCAACTTTCATAAAGAAAGAATTGAATTGGGGGGTTGCTTACAGTTTCAGAGGGTTAGTCCACAGCCATCCTGTTGGCAGAAAAGAGGCATGGCACTGGAGCAATGGCTGAGAGCTTCACATATGGAAGCAACAGACACAGAGACCTACATCTCTACTTTTAGTTATATGAGTAATTTCTCATTTTTACCTCTATTAAATACCTATACCTATGCTCAATATTTTTTTTTTGATTTCTGAAACAGGGGTTCTCTGTGTGGCTCTGGCTGTCCTGGAACTCAGTCTGTAGACCAGCCTGGCCTCAAACCCAGAGATCCACCTGCCTCTGCCTCCCAAGTGCTGGCATGAAAGACATGTATCACCACTGCCC